AACGAGGAGACATTCCAGTTCCCTAGCAAGCCTGATTCCGTGAGTTCTTTTCTTCCCATGACTAAAACAGCTAGTGAGATAACTCGTCGTTCCCAGGAACCCATCCTCGTGCTAAATCGCTTGGTATCATCCGTCGCTTGGGACTCAACCTGGTCCCCCCACGCAATGGTGGAAGCTGAAGCGCTCACCATGTCTCCCGAGGATTTCCAATCTTTGGTAAACAACCTGGGCCTCCTTGTCTTGGTCGGCCTCCCCAGCGATACCGTGCTGGACCGTTCCCTTCTCCTCTCTCGGTTGAGCAAGACAGCTCACGTTCAATGCTTCAGTAAGTTGCCCTACCTTGAAACATGCTGTCAAGCTCATGGGAATGCTCTCCAGATTCCGACAGCTCCAGATCAGGGGAGGATGATGAACAGTCGTGGGAGCCACTGCCACAAGTGATCGACGAACTCACTGATTGGCGAACTTCACGGCCGTTGGTCGTACACCACCTCAAGGGGGTTGTCCGTCTTCCTGTGGAAAGGTAACAATCCGTGTTCTACCATCTCTCACCATGCTGATGATCCGTTTCCTTTTCACAGCCTCCTCAACTCTCTCGACGGTCTCCTGTTCGAGTACCTCGACGAACGTGGAGGCGATCTTCCGGAAGATTACAACTCTTGGAGGACACCGATGCTGGCCACCGTGGGGTCGTTTACGGCTCCACACCTGGATGAAGATGGGGTCGGCACCGTCCTGCATTGCATTGCAGGTTACAAGCTGATATTCTTCCCCATCGAATTGGAGGTCCCCTTGATCGTTAAGTACGACGACTTGGATACCCAAGGTAGCATCGGATTCGAGTACCTGTTCCACTCCCCGAACCGGTTTGGGTGCTTCATCCTCTGCCCGGGGCAAACACTGTAGGGTTTTTCTTCCCTCCAGCGATTTTCCATGGTGGTTAATCTTGTTTTCTAGCATCATGGCCCCGGGCCAGGTCCATTTTGTCTTCACGGTGTCAAAGGAAGACAAGGGAGAGTTGAGCGTAGGGGCCCTGATGCAAGGGTCATTTTTCCTCTCGCCCCGATGCATGGTTCGATCTTTGCACGCAAGTTGGGTGGACCGACTCCTTCAGTCGCAAAGGGGTGGCCCCATGGATAGGTGCGACACCATGACAGCAATGCTGGAAGCATATGTCTTGGACTCACATCGACGGCTAACGAGTGGCTGCTCGTTGGTTGGGCAACCTGAGCCAAAAGAAGTGCTGGCTGCGATGTTCATGGCGTTGGTGTACTCCAAGGAAACGGAGGTCGATCGGGGGGCACGGTGTGTGATCCACCATTATGCCCGTCTGCACCCGGAGGACTTTAGCCAATTCAGGCGTGAATTCAGCAAAGTTCGGGCTGCCAACCTGCAGGATGGTGGTGACATGTTCACTGCCGAAGACGTGGAATCACTTCGTGGCTCCATGAAGGCTGCGGTCCAGGCGATGATGGACGAGGGGATCCTCGAATAGTTTGTTTTGTAGACAAGCTATGACACCCAACCATCGTTTCCCATGGATATGTTGTAAGACAGCAGCGGTTGGTTCGACGCTTAGCGCAAGGATACCCGACCTACATTATCTCGGTGAGATGCCCGATGATTGATGTTAGGTTTATTTCTAGTCGGTCTCTACTGTCTTATCACTATATGTTTATTTAACATTTATCTTCCTTTTTCCGACCTGTTGGTCGCTTCACTTTCCTTTATTTGTAATAATCCTCACTCCTGTTACATTCGATTAATCGACGCTTAAAAGCTCGATGTTTACTTCGCTGACGCCCTCAGTTCTCATTGCGTTCACAACCGCGAGACTGAGGTCGGTATACCTTTTATCATATTCACTCGTTTACTTGTTCTAAATCTTCACCTAGTATTATTCTATTCTAGTCCGCGTTAGGATAAACTTCTTGCCACCCCTACATCAATTTATCTTCCCTCCATTGTTTCTATATATGTTTTCGTAACAATATATGCACGCAATGTAACAATATGTACACAATATATATATATATATATTAACTGAAAAAGAGTGAGTCCAAGAAGAGCAACAGTACACAAAGATATGGCACGAATCAGCCATGGTATAAAGGACGATTGCTGCTTTTCAAGTTATGAGGCGTGGGAAGATTCTGGGCGAGCTGCTCGCCCAGAAATGGTCACGTGTTGGGTGGTCACTGTACCGGAGTTGTCCGAATTGATATCTATTGTCCCAAGCTGTAAATGCGGTGAATCCACAGAAACATCCTGATGCTGTACGCTGCACGCCGAGACCTAAACCTAGCCAACCTTTTCTAGAGGGTAGCATAAGAGTAGCAAGCTTCCTCAACGTGAGTGGAGCATACGAAAAGAAAACCTCAACCAACGTGGTGCATTGCTCCTCGAGAGCGAGCATGTAGGTTGGTGTTGCCATAACAGGCTGAAGCGCCTCCTTCCTTCTCTGGCTTCTAACTGGTAAGTTGCCCCGTAGCGCGATGGGACCTGTAACTCACGCATGCTGATCAGATAACGCTGGTCTCTGCGAAATTACTTTGCATTTTCCATCGATTCGTCGTGCGCGATCTTGTGAGTCTATCGCAGCTGTGAAACACTCACTTGGTCACTAAGGTGCTTGGCCTGGCTTCTTCCTTAGTTCTCATTCTGAGTCTTGCCGCTTTTCTTTCACACATAACCTTGATCTCGATGCCGAGTTACTCAACATATGTCGCACGATGAAATCGCAGGGACCGGACCGCATCAAGTTGCCAACCGGCGCAGCCACCCTCCAACAGCTCGATAACGTGGTTGGCACATAAGTCGATCACCTCCTCTGGAGGTGAGAGATCTTAAAACCCTCAGGAACTAGCCCTGAAGTGGTTGCTTTTTCAGGATCATGTTGATCCTCATCATCGTCCGACGATGGCCGTTTCTGCGGATCTCCCATAATAGTTTCTTTATAAACCACTCGTTTTTTTTCGTGTGACCTTGCCCTTGCAGGCGTGTTTTGGCGCCATGGGCAGGAAACCGGATCTCTCTTCGCAGCAAACCTTCAGTAACGACCAACAAGATGCCACCTTTTATGCGGTACACGGCGGAACTGGAGCAAACCGCTGAAGCCAGAGTCCGAGGGAAGCATGAACTTGGCGTTGGTGGTGGGCCAGAGCAAGTCACTGCTCGACCGGATGGGACACTCGAATCAGACCCTGATGCTTCTTCTAGGGCTAATCGTGCAACCTGCCCCCAAGAACCTCATCGAGCGAATTCAACACCGTACCGCACACAACCTTCAAGCGAGTCAGTGAGGAGGAAGATGACCACGGGGCAGAGTTTGCGTAGGCCTGGCTCACCAATGGCCATAAAAAACCCATGTCCCCTGGAATGCCTACGACGCCAACATCGAAAGGGCAGTCCGCAGCCTCACCAGTTGTGGAGGACAGCTCCGCACCTTTGGAAAGACAATCGCTTCATCGACGAAGACAGGTGCTCACGTACCATTTAAATACGATGACCCTATTGAGCTTGGGAACGGACAACCATCCAACTCGCAAGACGAAACTTACAACTGAGGGGCAATGAACGGAGGCGTGAAACAAATATATCGCTGCGGTTCTCTGGACACTGGGCAGCCGAGTTTCAGAATACGACCAGGCTCCCAGGACGTTCATGGAAACACCCACCTCGCTTGGAATTGACCCTGGCAAATTGTAATGGGTTGGCCCGGTACGAGCTCTGCTAGGTAGCCCCGTTACCATTTGACGGGGCCAACCATCAGATTTCGAGTGCCGGGACCTCCTATCAGATATGCGCAGTCTGATGGGGTCATCCTGACGGGATGCCCGGGACGTACTGACGGGGTGCCCTGGAAGTTATTGATAAGTAAATGTCGTGCTGAATGCCATTGTGGAAACGAAATGAGATATTCATTTGTTTTCTAGACTGGTTTGAGGAGCCCTCGCACGCTACGGCTACACACCACTTTCCTCCTCCACATCATCATCAGCCCCATGCTTGTTGTTTCCTATCAAAAGCCAAACGAGTAGGAGCCCTTTATTACGGAGGAAATGGTCAAGGCTCTGCACATAAAAGGTTTGGAAGCCTATGTTGGACATGGCCTGCCCACAGTCGTTTGTTCAATTGCCGACACTGATCCACGAGGGACATCCACAAATCATCATTCACCATCACCCCAGTAAACCCCCCCTGTTCAGGAGCAACTGCCTTCAGTGCCGGATATTGTTCGACGGACCCCGCATTCTCCTCAGTCCACACAGGTTGTTCGCGTACAATCTCCTCCACTTAGAACAGAGCCATCTCTGGAGGAGCCCCCGGAAGGCGTACAAGTCTGGAAGCACCTGGTCCTCCAGTTCAGCAAGAGCTTCCACCTTAAGCAGATATCCTTCCCCCCGTCCTTCAAGTGCTGGCGCCGATCCACGAGGGACATCCGCGAGTCATCATTCACAATCACCCCCTTGCGCGCGGGAGCGACTGCCTTCAGCGCCGGATATTGTTCGACTGACCCCGCATTCTCCTTAGCCCACACAGGTTGTTCAAAACAGAGCCGTCTTTCTCAGACACAAAACTGACCCATGGTTCGAGAGGCGCCAGCCCAAATTCTGCAGCGCCAGAAGCAAGGACCATGCCCCACGCATCCACGCAGCGCAATCTATCCTCAAGTCTTCCCAGATCAAAAAAGTCGAACAGAGTCCTCGCATACGCATCTACTTCAACAGTCCAGTCGAACTAGAAATATGCATATGCCCCTGACTGGAACCGCAGTGAGGAACGGGAGAAAGAGGCTGAGGCTCGAGACGATGGTGGTATAAAGTAATCGCGAAGGTGATATAGACGCATCGATGCCAGACCCGCTTTTTACAACTGCCACAACAGCCTTCGACGAGTGTGTCTCCGAACCGTGTCATGGCACCGAACGAGAACGCAGTGGTAAGTCAGCCAAAGTAATCACGAAGGCGAGTCAAGGCTGAGCGAAAAGTAAACTCATCATGTGGACGCTTTTACACCGCGACATCACCTTCGGGATCACTCGACAAGCCTGCCCTGAATCGTGTCGTTCGCCCGATCTCAACCCAGCCTCGTCAAGCATGCCCCCGAACCGTGTCGTGGCACCGAACGAGAACGCAGTGGTAAGTCAGCCAAAGCAATCACGAAGGCGAGCAAGGCTGAGCGAAAAGTAAACTCATCCTGTGGACGCTTTTACGACCGCGACATCACCTTCGGGATCACTCGACAAGCCTGCCCTGAATCGTGTCGTTCGCCCGATCTCAACCTAGCCTCGTCAAGCATGCCCCCGAACCGTGTCGTGGCACCGAACGAGAACGCAGTGGTAAGTCAGCCAAAGTAATCACGAAGGCGAGTCAAGGCCGAGCGAAAAGTAAACTCATCCTGTGGACGCTTTTACGACCGCGACATCACCTTCGGGATCACTCGACAAGCCTGCCCCTGAATCGTGTCGTTCGCCAGATCTCAACCCAGCCTCGTCAAGCGTGCCCCCGAACCGTGTCATGGCACTGAACGAGAACGCAGTGGTAAGTCAGCCAAAGCAATCACGAAGGCGAGTCAAAGCTGATCGCGAAGTAAACTCATCTTGTGGACGCTTTTACGACCACGACATCAATCACGATGACATGGTCAACCGAAAGTACCAGAAGGAGTTGCAACCGGGCAACATCGTTATTGTCACCTTCAACAATTCCGCGAGACTTGAGGGCTGAAGGATAGTATTAGTTGTGTCTGCAATGGAGAAGATCGCAAGTTGGGGTGCTCCGAAGCCTGGCTCTTCGTCCAAGAAGATGTGAGTAATGATACTTTAAAGGAAAACAAGTTACTGAAAGACAGTATAACCACGAATAGAACTATGTCAAAGTCATCGCCAACATCACACCCGCCACGGCCTGTTTTTTGTTGTTTAATGTCCCATTTCACGAGACTAATCACGGGACAGGGCTTACCACAGCCATGCAGTGATCGCTCCCCTGCCTGCCCATTGCTATCTCACCCGCCCTACCACCCACACCTTGCTCGTGCCCATGTCTTAACAATCTCACTATGGCACCATCGGCTCAATGCCGCTCTGCCCAGGTCTCGCCCATCTCACGATGACACCGTCACCGTGGACCTACAGCTCGCTTGGTTCCAGACTGTATGCTGAACGTTCCGGCGCGGATGCGCAGAACGGAACAATCTCAGCTGTGGTACGGTCTGAAACCTAATATGCCAACAGGAACATCTGCGCACTTATAAAGGGTCTCTGACCTATGCCTCCTGTTCCCCAGCCATTGCCAGCCCGTTCTTCCTCGGTGAGTAAGAACGCTTCGATTCAGCCAGGGTCTGAAATCGCTGCCGTCGCCTGACAAACTCTCTTGCCCACTTCCAGTATCCACAGCCTTATTTACAGCCTTTTTACGCGCCCACCACCTCCCCTGTCTCCTGCTAACCCTATGTATATTTAACACGGGTCGCGCGTTGCGTGCTCAAACCAATTCATAGGCCGTCCCCTCGGCCGTTCCCACTACACCTTGTCGTCCGCGATTAGTTGTAATTTCTCGTCTTGTGTTGGTGTGAGAAAAATAACAAATTTGATTAACTCTCGCGATGTAAGAACATGAAAACAAAATAAGGGGGCAGTGCAGAGTCCGGAGCGCAAGCACTCTTCTAGTTCTATTTCACGGGACGGGCCCATGTTGGGCCGTGTCCACTATGTTGGTCGGAACCGATTAGGTCTCAGTGTGAAGTGGAAGAATATATTGAGAATATTATCGTGAATTTTCACAGGAGAAACTGATTAGATCCAGACAGGATTTGACGACAGGATTTTGGTCAAATTCGTGAAAAAGGTGGGACTCGTCACATGTACCAGGCCAGGGGAAAATCGTGTCTTATGGTAAAAACCTCTGTCATATAATCATGGATATTGTAATATTCACTTTTCTCAGTGCGTAAAATACAGGGGAAAGCAGGGGAAAGCGGGGGAAAGCCGTCGAGTGGGTCTCGGAGAGATAGAAGTTATACGTTGGGGTGATGGTATACCAGAAATCCCTTCAACGCGAGTACCTCGAACAACGGACTTGACGTTCGATATCCTGGAAGAGGTCGTATTGTGCGTAGTAGAGCCCGATCCACTCAAGCTCGTTATGGGATGGATTCTGTGGTTGTGTCAGGTTTCATTTGCAGCTTACCAGCCATCCATGCGTACCTCCATGCTAAATTCCCGCCAACTCTCCACATTTTCCTCCACGCTTGACGGGGCCTCCCTGGTCAGAATCCATCGTACTGCCGCAGCCCATTCATCATTCGAGAAAGCTGGGTGCTCCTCGGAGCGACCCTCTGGCCTCCTCGTCAGCATCACCTCCGGTCTCGCTGGAACGTTTCTACGTTCCCTGAGGTACCCGCTCACCGCTTGGGAAAAATCGTCATGAAATTTTCGGTGGTAAAAAGAGTAGGTAGCCGGCGATCTGTCAGGATACTGCACAAAAATTGAATCTCATTCCTAACCTCACAGTACTACAACATACCTTTTCGTGGAAATCTCTCCAGAGGGCATATGGAGAAAGTCCAGGGTTCAGAGCGATGTGGGGCACCATCGCGTCCCACAATTGTTTGGACCAACCCCTTGGGAAATTCCCCCGGCCCCTCGTTGGTCCATTATTGGTCATCCTGGGTGGCGCGAGTACAAGATGAGAAGCCTCGAGGCGATTTCCCGGGTAACAGATATGGACGGATCACATGTCATAGCCAGGCGCGGGAAGTAACCTGGGCAAATTGTAATGGGTTGGCCTGGTATCAACCCTGCTAAGGTGTCCCCGTCACTGTTTCCAACCATTAGATTTCGAGTACCGGGACCTCCTATCAGATATGATGGGGCCATTATGACGGGGTTCCCTGGGAAGAATTGATAGGTTACCCAGGCAGTTTTGATATATATTACTAATCGGGCATCGTACTATACAGTAATACAAAGTTTCGGGATGCTAATGGGTTAATTGATGGGGTGCGCGCGCCATGTCGGCCAGCCTGGAATCTTTGTATTGTCCACAGATCGGACAAGGGAGAGAGTGGCATCTCACGTAATTACCTAGGTGGGATACGAGGAAAAATGTTATTTCATCGACAAGAACAAGCGGAGGAGGCGCCAAGGCACATCCAATTGCAAGGGGGTCAGAAACCTGACCATTGGCATGGGAGTGTGCAATGGGGCATGCATCTAAGTAAGTGATCAAACGGTAGATACAGATGCGGCTGCCAAAGGGCACAACCTATGCTTGATCACACGAGATCGCATCTTCACAGTTCAACATGGTAGTGAGCATCGAATTGGGGGCAGAAAACAGAGCGCTAGCTGAGAAAAGCATAGCTGTGCTTATCATAGGAATCCAGTGTCAATCGGAAATGTGTGGGGGAACAGAGAGAGAGATAGACGAAGTCCCCGTGTGAACCGCAACTCCCAAACCCACAAATAATTTGCGGGAAAACTTCTCACAGTGCGCGGGGAGGAATTTGTCTAGTTTGAGCGTTAACTTTCCTGACTATGTACAGATTTCACGAGTCATAGCCTTTTTTATCTTTAAAACGAAAGAGAAAGATCGTTAACTGCTTTCATAAGAGCGGGAACAACAAGGGTGGCACCGCTAGCTCAACATCACGTTGCGAGTTGGCCACAGTGCTGCATCGCACCGGGGTCTCTTCGTTAGAGTGGGAAAAATAATGGAATATGCAGCAGGATGCCCTGGGAAAATTTTTCCAGCGCTTTGCGCAAGCGTGGCTTATGTAACAGTCAGCGCCAGGCGTTGGTTTCGTGCCCAAACAACAAATTTGAGGCAACATTTTAGGTCTACAGTAGTTGTATCAAAAAACGTTGCAAAAAAACTTGTGTCTCAAACCCTAGTATACAGTCGATAGGACGGAGAGGATGATGGCAGGAGCGGGAGTGCAAGGACATGATGATGAGGGGAACGTGAACGTGAACACAAGGATACAAGGACAAGCAGGCATCACATTCCAAACACGCTATGGCCAATTGCGATCGCCTATGTACCACTTGGGCTCCCTTCCTGTCAACGCACACAGAGCGTCTGCGGCGTTCTGCAGTTCTTTCCATTTGATGGAGTCAGGGTGATCGTCTACAGCCGAACGCCTGTGAGATAACGTGTCCAAGGTATTGTCGGAGATGGATATCACTCGCGTCACCTCCGTGTTGTGCGATATGACCCCCCTGGATTTGACTGGCCAACGTGACTTGAACTTGTCACGAATACTCTTGCGAACAGCCATATAAATGTTCTCAAGCAGGAGCAGGGACTTTCCTTCACCCGGGGTGGTGGGTACCCCGAGAGCCTGGGCGAGAGGAAGCATGTCTGTGGCAGTAAACTGGAGACCGATACCAAAATACATAAGAGGAGGATCGCTGAACATGCTCTGGACGTATTCAGGTGGAAGCCAAGGACCGGACCACGGCTCGTGGGCAAGCATGTACTCTGGCGTAAGAGGACGCTATATGTAGATCAGCAGAGTTCAGACCAAGTACCTCGATGGAACGAACGTACAGGCTTGAGCTGGAGGGTATCTTGTTTCCCCTGTCTCTCAGGATCAGTTTCTCGATCATCTGAGCTATGGATGCTGAGGCTGCTGAACTGGCCAGTGGTAACATCCATGGTGGGGTGCGTGTAAGGGGGGGGGGGGGGAAACTAGGGCTAACTCCGCTGATGGTCATGTGATTATCCCGAAATCAGTAGAAAATAAATTGCCGACGATCAAATTGTCAAGGTATCGTCTATTCAGTTGATTCCTCGCATGTGGCCCTCCGGGGACTTAAGCTTAATACACCTGATTATTATTATTATTGGCCGAGCTTGCAAGGGGTCTGTTTCTCTGGCTCTCCGCTGACCTGTAGAGATGAACATCATCGTCGCAGAAGACCTTCTCCCTGAATGGTGGTACACGGAATCCTTTGATGCTCTGACTGCAGCATACAAAGACTGCGAGCGGTCAAGGAATTTCGAGTATCCGTTTTACACCGTTTACGAGAAAATATTGGGCATGTGTATAACTCACATCAGTCCACCCTTTAAGGGCACCATCATATCGAGTCCACAACGACGTTTGGACGGCCCAACAACAGTGTTCAGCGTCCATCCAAATAATGGAAACGTCACAAAGTACCTGACGGCTACTCCAGATTCGGTTCTGGTATACTATCCAGGACCCATTGGATGGAACGAGTCACGGAGGTGCCAGCTGCTGATCGAGATCAAGAGGCAGCCAGTCATAAGTCGGCATTCCTTGAGAGAACCTCCGGCTAGACCATATAGCTGGATCACGGACCACAACACCATGGACTTTGCGCTCCGCCCGAGAGATGACTTCGAAGGTCATCTTGGCCAGGTCATACTTCAAGCCTTTGTGGCGTTCCATTCGTACCCTGATCACGATATCATATATCATGCACTGATCGTTGGGGTGCGATTTTGTCTGTTCCGATTTACACGACCCCAAAATCTGGTAGCACTTCCTCAAAAATTTGTGGGGGAAGGTATGGGCTGGCGTTGGTTTTACTGCCAGAAGGCTAATTATTTTATTATGTACCAGGGAAGGAGCCGGGAGCGGCATGGAACAAAGTCATAGTGTCAGGGTTGATCCCCCTTGACAGCATCGAGGTGGTGATGTTCAACGAACTGGCGTTGGCTTACGATGGGGACGTGAGGATATCACTAGGGTTCATGAGATGTTTCCTAACAGTGATGCCGCCGAACGTTTGGGTCCGCAACCATCCTCGCCTTCCCCTAGGGAGCGAAGCAGTGACTGGATTCACACCGAAAGCTGGAGTAAGCGACATGTTTATCAGTATTAGTTAGCATCGCTCAATCCAAGTCAGAACATAATTGTGGGCAAAAATCTGCTTAGGGCCTTCTACGAGGAGGAGAGGGATGAAACGCTCACGGTTGTATTCGAGGATAGGGGACTCTGAGGCTGGAGATCCATCATATGTACCTGGACAGGGGTCATAAGGAGCGAAAGCTAACCATGAGGATGCACAGGTATGCACGTCATGGGGATATGGGTTATGATATGCTGCTTGTCCTACTGTTATTCAGGTTCCACATTCAGGTTCCACATGTAGCGCTTGGGCGCATCTCATGATCACTTTGGTCTTGTGGACGTAGCGACCGGATGTGGGGCAGCGACAAGGATGGGCCACTAGGCACCTTATTGCGGACGTGGCACACCGAGTCACACATATTGGGACTACCGGGACTGGTGGCGG